AATTCAAACGTCGGGCCAATTGTTTGGCCCTTTGGAGGCCCTCAACAGTGCTGAGCGCCGGACGATCTTTGTTATACATAACGGACCCGCTCTGCATAATAGCCCTCTTAAACAGACCTTTCGATAGGGGAGACAATATGTGTGCCGATACGGACCAACTGCCAGCACTCGCACCAAATATAGTAATCTGATCCTTATCTCCGCCAAACTTATGTATATTTTCTCTAACCTATTAATATATAATATCAATATTTAGTTAAATAAAAGTTATAAATTAAATTAAATATAGTTTAATACCCATTTGAGTCCTAATAACTGATCATAAAAGCCCGCATTTCCGGGCGCTGTGTGATCGCCGCCGTAGAGGAACCCCAACGGCCCGACCCTATAGTTAACCGCAACCACAACCACATCATTGGTGGCCAACACTGAAGAGTTGTAAAACTCTTGAAATATTGATCCAATACTCAGAGCTCCGCCATATATGGAGAACATGACTGGTTTTAGACCGACTTTCTGGTGATTATCATTATTATTGTCCACATTTGGTGTCCATATATTCAATACTAGACAATCCTCACTTGACGTAGGATTAGATCCATCATCAATAAACATTATTATGTCTTGAATGCAATAATTGCCGGGTTTTGTGCCATCGATAATATCCTAGAGTTATAAATTTATAATTATTATGTTAAAAAATAATCAACAAATCCATTACCTGTTTGGGCTCCTTGAGTGGTAGGGGAGGGGCAAACCTGAGTGGGCCTAAAGGGGGCTCAGCGTAGGGTATATTCAAGAATTGATGTATTTTGCGATTCAAGACATGGAGTGTCTGACCCCTCACTGAACCCGAACTCGTGTTCACATCAATACTATTCCCATCGCAAACACACACTATTAAACACACTATTAATACTAATAAACTTAATTGTTTTGCAAATAACATTATTTACTATTTTGCAAGTTTACATAAAAATTTAATAAAATAAAATAATTTCTTTCAGCGTTTACTTGTTATTTACGTTTTGATTAATTTACTATTTACTGTAACTGTACATGTTAAATACACTAATTGTGACAATTTATAGGGAAAAATTTGTCGTTAATGCACTAAACTGTAATCAAACAATAAACATTAATTATCATCATTGCCACATTTTGCACCTATTGATAACTAAATTTACTTTTAATATAAACAACTCTACATTATATTTATTAAAAGAATCAAGGTTATTGTTGCTAAATATTTAGAAAGACTGCTAATCTTATAATTATCACATTTAATAGTGAACATAAAATATAATGTGTTACCAATGTACTTAAAATTATACTTGGTATATACAGTATGTATGCTTTTACATACTTGTATGTTTTTATATAATAAAGTCTATTTTAATAAATTATTTATTAAGTTAATTATTTAACTAGTTATTCTAGTATGGTATTTATTATAAAGTACTTTATTATGTAATATTAATACAAAAATATTTGAAAACTTAATGCAATTTTATTCTGTTTAAAACGTGTTTAATAGTTAATGAAATGACAATATAGTTATCAATTATTAAACATATTTTATGTCAAAGCATAGCACCATGGCAAATTAAAAACATTAGGCCAATAAAGTTATTTGTATTAAGCTGAAATGTATATGGGTCAAATGGAAAACAAGATTTTATATAAGTTTTTATAAAAAAAATTGTGAAATATTACTTATGATAAAATAGCATCCTGGTAATGAATTGCAAATATTCTGTTATTTAGCATACTGTATAAATAAAATTTATTTTTTTAACTTAAATTTATCATGAAAAATTAATAGACAAAAAATTAAAAACATTTAAACGTAAACAATAAATAATTTAAAATATTTAAGATAGGTTATTTTTTTTGTTATAGTCAACTATGTGTACTCCTGGTCCGATGCAGCAGGTTACTTTGTCCTGGCTTAATATCAAGGTGTTTATTAAGTCAAGAAAAAAGTTTTATAATTTCTACCGCAATGATAATTCAATTACAACGATAATTAATGATGGTAATATAATTTAACTAATTTATTGCTAAACAAAAAAAAATTAATTACCATAAGTTATGCATTTTATATATTATAATTAAAATATAATTACAAATTGTATTAGTATCTGGAAATGTTGCGCCTGGTAAGTTATTGGCTGTAATGGGTCCTAGGTAAAACATTTTATTATTATATGTAAAGTATAATTATTAATTATGAATTTCTAGTGGTGCTGGCAAAACGACCCTGCTCAATGCACTCACCGGTAGAAATATGGGCAAAATGTCGGTCACCGGAGAAGTGCTAATAAACGGCCGACCGGTAAACGGGCGGACTCTGGCCTCCATCTCGTCGTATATCCAACAAAACGATTTGTTTCATCCATTGCTTACCGTTAGAGAGCATCTCATGTTTCAGGTATTTATTTTAACTGTATTTCATTAATGATATATATTAATATACGATATACGATATTATACGATATTATACGATATTATACGATACGATACGGTAATATACTATATTATATGACTTACACTTTGTTTTTATGTTATATATGCTATTTATCAAAAAATATACTTAACAACTAGGTTATTTTGCGTTTGGATAATAGTATGACAAAGACAGAAAAAATAGATTTGCTTCAGAATGTTGTTAACAAGGTAATTTATATAATTAATGTTAGGTTTTTGTATTTAATAATACTTTTTCTTGTAAAGTTAAACTTGGTCAATTGTGCTGATAGTAGAATTGGCAGTAATGCAATATTTAATGGTTTAAA